TTCTGTCCCCCCCCGGGGACAAAACGGGGATTTGCCCATATCTTGCCCATTTTAAGCGCTTTTTTGACCGCTGTTCCGGTAGAACAAACCCTACAATTTTTGCAAACTTTGCTGGCCACTTCCGACCAGGGGACACGAACTTCATGTCCCCCCCCGGGGACAAAACGGGGATTTGCCCATATCTTGCCCATTTTATGCACTTTTTAGGCCGTTGTTCCGGTAGAACAAACCCTACAGTTTTTGCACATTTTACTGGCCACTTCCCACCAGGGGACACGAAATTTGTGTCCCCCCCCGGGGACAAAACGGGGATTTGCCCATATTATTACCACCAAGAGTAAAGGGTAGCGCACAATACTTGCAAACGTTGCGTTCGACACCACACCAGAAAAAGCAAGAAGAACAACAAACGTCGACGAGTTCCATTCTTGTGGTTGGCAGCCAACACATCCATCCATCCCTAGCCCACCTCCGGGAACCTCTTCTTCGCGATACTTACGCGACCTCTTGAGCTTACGTATTGCGCTTCCTCCCGCTCCCCCTCCTCCTCCCCCTCCTCCTCCTCCTCCTCCTCCCCCTCATCGTCCTCCTCCTCTCCCTCATCTTCCTTCTCCCCTCCCCCACCCACCTCCCCCATGCTCTCGTCAAGCGTAGGCGCCACTGGGGACTCGTCCGAAGATATGACCGGAAGAATAACGCCGGTCAATTGAGTCCCAAGCGTGCGTCTCCCAACCATCTCTTTTCCCGACTTCTCCATGTTAGTATCACTGGTATTGAGGACAGCAGACACGAACAGGACGCGGCGGGAGAGAGAGAGTGCCGCGACACAGCAAGCACTCCCGCAGGTCCGAGCCCCGTGGATCAACCATGAAACCAACCCAGGGGACTATCAATTCCAATCTGCGTAGCCACTTCCTACAGTNCGACTTCTCCATGTTAGTATCACTGGTATTGAGGACAGCAGACACGAACAGGACGCGGCGGGAGAGAGAGAGTGCCGCGACACAGCAAGCACTCCCGCAGGTCCGAGCCCCGTGGATCAACCATGAAACCAATCTAGGGGACTATCAATTCCAATCCGCGTGGCCACTTACTACAGTCCCGTTCGAATATTCTGATCCGCTCATGCACACACGAACACTCCATCACCTCGCCAACCAAGTCGGGGTACACCTTCGCTACCATGCAGTCATCGTAGCAGCCTATTCGGCAAGTCGAGCAGTAGCACGATGCGCCCCGAACCCGCAACTTCCAAGATCTGGTGAACTTTTTGCGGGCGGCCCATTTCCTCGCCCTGGACTCGTCTACCGCCCACTTCCTAGCCGTCAACACCTTGTCTCCGGCCGCTCCCACCACAAAATCGTCTGTCTGCACCCCCACACAAGACTTCAGGTATCCTGCACCTCCCCCTGCTCCTCCTCTGTTCCCGGGATTCGTCACGTCACTCCGTGTCTTGTGCTCGTTGTACACGTAGCATCCCTCACTCGCAGCGATCTTGGGGGCGATGTCGTGGTTCGTGTTGTACAATGTGCATCTGCCGCCGTGCGTCGCTGAAAGTCTCGTGCCGAATGCCGAGACTGTTGGCTCGCTCGGCAAGGCTCACTCCACCAGACTCAACGGGCTTGCACCGCTGGCCGGGGTGGCACACGTCCGTGTCAGTACACGTGTGCTCTCCCGCTCCGGCTGCTACAGCGAGCGCTGTCTGGTAAGTGGTCCACCCTATCGAGCTGTTGCAGTGCTGCTTCAGCGCTTGCAACGACGCGCGGAGTGCACGAGTGTTGGCCGCGTCGATCGCCGCCACCTTAGCTGCTGCCTGCTCTGCCGCGCCAGCATCCAGCANACCCTATCAAGCTGTTGCAGTGCTGCTTCACCGCTTGCATCGACGCGCAGAGTGCACGAGTGTTGACCGCGTCGATCGCAGCCACCTTAGCTGCTGCCTGCTCTGCCGCGACAGCATCCAGCATGGCCCGTACTCGCTCCATCAACACGGGGTCGTTCTGCATCAAATCCATCGCGCTAGAGCGACGCTCCTCCGCAACCTGCGTGCAACATATCAGTAGTCTAGTTATTGGAGGAGTCGGGGTCTGAGTGAGCGACAAATAAACACCACGGTAGCAGCGTCATTGCAGCAGTTACAGCAGTCACCAAACCTGTACAACTTTCAATGCGCTTTCTGTGCTTAAGATATCGACGTGGTGGAATGGACCTCGATTCTTGGGGGCAAAGAGGACGGGCAGCGCGTGTACCAAATTTCAAATTCAAGAACAGTAATAGTCTAGAGCTGCTGGCACGAACTGGCGCGCAAAGTAAAGCGCAGTCAATCAAGCACTAGAACACCTTTCAGCAGCACCTCAGAAGTGATTCAAAACTCACCGCTTCCTCCCGCGAAGTATCTGAGGTAGCACCACGTCTAGTCCCGCCATCATGAGCCAATGCTAGAGGGTCGGAGAGAGCTGCGTCCGCCCCCTTGCGCTTCGCCTTCTTCGCCGCAGCAGATGAAGCAGCAGCAGCAGCAGCAGGCTGTCGTTTCCCGCGTTTCGATGCTCTCTCTCGGATGCCTTCAACGTGCTCTCTACCCTTTTCGAGGAGCTCAACTTCATCAGCAACCACAGATTGCACAGGTTTTCCAGCTGCCTCGGTGGTACCCTTTCTCAACAGCTGGCTGATTAGCAGTATCCCGCGGATGTGATTCTTCCGCTGCTGTCTCACTACCCTCTCTTCCCCTCGGATTTCGATTGTGCGGTCTACCTGCATGAGGCTGCCACGAGCCACGGCCAGGCCCAAGTCGGGACGGCCGTCCTAGAACGAGATTAGGTCTGATGACCTCGAGAGTGGTGTCCTCTGAATGCAATTCGACCAAGCGGAGTCGATTGCCGTGGAGAACTAAGAACGAGGCTTGCGTTGGCGATGTTGCGGTGAAACAGGATGCGCAGCATCGTTTTATCTTGAAAAATGGGCGTGGAAACATTTTTAGTTTTGTTCGGTTGGTCTCGCCGAAACGTTTCTAGAACCGGTCTCCGTTTTTCATACCAACGAAAGCTCGTTCTAGGACGCCATTCTCCGGCATATACCGGAAGGCGCCCTATGTCATGCGTTTGAAACCATCAGGAATGGGAGGATTTCGACTCTCCGTAGTGCTACGTACGTCGCCCACCGTGTTCCTGAGGACTTTTTTCGTCGAGAGCCGAGGACGATGATGGGTCCGATGAAATCTAGTTGTACGCACATGTGGCGCATAGTCTATAAATGAATATTCCCGCAAGACCTGGCTGGCACCTGGCACCTGGCCCAGGCAAGTTCTTGGATCCGAAAAGATTCGAGGTAAGATTTCTTGTTTTTTTCTCCAAATGACCAACGAATCCATCTCCATCTAGACTACATGGTAAGAAAATAGTTCAAAGATATGCATAGATTAGCAACGGATCCATGGCGTTGGCGAAAGCTAGATCTCTGTATTTAACATTTCCACGATTGATTTCCCGAGCAGCACATCAGTGATATCTCCTCCCCCGTCGGCAACAGGGTCATCAAGACAGTTCGTTTGGTAGCCGTCTTCTTGTGCATCTGTCTGTATGTTATGATGGGAAGGTGTAAGAAGGAGGAGAGAGGTGTTGTTGGGTAGTACTTGGTTCGTCGGGTGTGTGGTGTGTGTGTAGTTGTTGGCACCCTCTCACGGATTGTGTGTGTAGCAAAGTACCGTGTGTAGATTTCTCATTTTTTTTTTCTCTTCGGCACCACCATTATTATGCATTGAGCACCATAATTGAGCATTGTGACAACAGAATTGTAGTTGCTGTTTGTTGTGTAGTTGGCAGTGGTGGCGCAGTTTGGGTAGATACAACACAGAGTGATCATTAGATC